TTCTGCTGCTGTCAGGGGGAAGTGGTCCAAGAAGCCAGCCCTCCCTGCAGCTGCCAGCCAGGACATCTGCAACAACAGGAGTAGGAGCAAGAGGGATAAACTGGCCCATGGTAGTTTATCCTACAAGTCATACTCCATAGAGTTCCTCATTTAAAAAACCGGGATTTCTCTTCTTATGTATATATTATGTAGCATGCCCAGAAATTAGGGCGATCAGCTCCACACATCAACTAAAGAGGAAGGAAAAAACCTTGGCTCTGTTTTGAGACACCTTTCCACCCATGAACAAGCTCCAAGACACAATATAAAGAAAAGGCAATGTAAACGACAAAGCGAGAACTCAGCAAGTTTCGGTAAAACCTCAGCCAGAAACTACAGTTTCTCAAAGAACTATAAATAACACAAAGCAAATGAGGAGAAGAAAAGGACCAAAACAAACCCAGAGAACAAGGCAAACAAATTAGAGAAACGATATGCTGGTGTGGAATGAGGAGTAACCAGGAGTCAGAAGGGCTAGATGCAAGTTCTGCCTCTGATACATACTCATTGTGGGATCACAGGCAGGTCACATGGTATCTCTCCACCTCATTTTCATCATCAGTCAAGTTGGGTAACAATTCTTGCCCTGTTTATCTCATAGCCTAGTAGGATACACTACAGGGTGATGGTTATAATGACCAGAGCAGTTTAAGAAATTAGGGAGATCCAGGAGAAAATGACAGGCAGAGAGCCAGCCAGAGAGAGAGAGAGAGAGAGAGAGAGAGAGAGACAGGCAGAGAGACAGGCAGAGACAGAGAGACAGAAAGAGAAGCAGAGACAGAGATAAAGAGTGAGACAGACAGAGAAAGAGACAGAACCCAAGATGGTTGAAACCAGTTTAGTGAGGATTGATATCTCATATCCACTCTGTGAGAAAGGCACAGAGATTCTCAATGAAATGAAATATCAATCCTCACTCAGCTGTCTTCAACTATCTTGGCTCTCTCCCTCTCTTTTTGCCCCCCCCCAATCCCCAGTCCCCTGCCCCATCTCTCTAATTTCTTAAACTGGTCTGATCAATGTCACTATTACTATAAAGGATCCCTTTTAAATTGGCCCTAAGGTGTGGAGAACATGTCTATGCCTTTTGGTTCAGTTGAGACAAGGTTTTGAGCTTCTGTTTCCTTATCTGTAAAATGCAGAAGATAATATTTGCTGTGCCCACCTCACCAAATTGTTGTGTGGCTCACCTGAGATAATGCATGTAAAATGCTCTGCAGATTCTAAAGTACTAAATAAGTATCAGTTATTATTATCATTAGCAATAATAGTAACAACCCATACTAAGCTATTTTTCTATACTCCCATTCTTTCACTGCCAAATATCTGTGGGGGTTGGGGGGAACTGACCCTTGTTGCTTCTACTTCCTCTCTTCCCCCTCACTTCTCAAATTATCCTTACAGTCTGGCTTCCAGTGATCACTGAAACTTTTCTCTCATCAATCTCAAACCCAATAGCCTTTCCTCAATCACAGGATCATATATTTAGAACTGCAATGGACTCAGAAGCCATCCCTCATTTAATAGTTCAGGAACCCAAAGCCAAGAGAGGGATGCCCATAGTCACACTGATAGCAAATGCCACAGGTGGGATGATAGTCCAGGCCATCTGACTACACAGCCAGTGGTTCTTCCTGTGTAGCAGGTAACTCCATTTTCCATCAGCAACTCAGCTTGGTTTTGACTCCATGGAACATCATGTCCCAGCACCAGGTTCTACTCCCACACCCCCACTCCCATTCTTCCTACCCATCCCCACCTCTTTTAGCTTCCTTTTGGATATTGTCTTCCTCATTGGATTGTAAGCTCCTTGAGGTCAGGGACTGTCTTTCTTTTTCTTATTTGCATCCCTAGCACTAAGCATAGTACCTTGCACATAGCAGACATTTAAAAAATCTTCACTGACTTGAATTTAATTATTGCACACTGCTTCTTGATCTCTCTCAAGCTTTTGACACTGTTGACCATTCCTTCATCCAAGATGCTCTCTTCATGAGTTTTCATGACACTAGGCTCTCTTACTTTTTCCACTTTCCTATCTCACCATTCTTTTGCAGTCTCCTTTGCTGGATCAATATCCACGCCCCACTTCCTTTATGTAGATGTACCCATACCTCTGTTCTGGGCTTTCTCTTTTCTCTACTTCCTCACCAGCTCCCATGGGCTCAATTACCTCAAATATATCTACCTATCCTCCCCTCTCTGTCTATCCTGAACTCACCAATTGCCTCTTGGATACTTCTCACTGGATGCACTGCCACAGGTGAGAGTCAAAATTGAGATACTAAGTCCAAAGGACCAAGCAAGGAGTCAGCTAAGAAGTCATGGAATTGAGAGGGCTAGAGGTGGGAGGTGCTAGCCGAGGTAGAAACAGGATCAAAACCAGAAAAAATAACTGTGATTGAGCTGGAACTGAGAAGAAGGTCTGATATGTTTGTTGGCTAAATAGTTTAATACTAGGCAAATAACATGAGGGTGAGCCGGACAAAGGGTTGTATCTCAATTTGTGGCAGTGTTCGCTCCTGGGCATGTGCATATTTCTGTATCCAGGTCCATACATCTTCCCCTACTTTCCATACTGAAGAGCTCAGGTACTTTCTACACTTGCTATTATGTAGCATCTATAGAGTCCAAGGGATGGCATACACACATTTAGATTCCAAACTTTTTCATTAGGAAGAGATATTTTTCATTTTTGCCAAGCCCTGAGATCACTGAACAAAAACAAAGAGATCACTGAGGGAGTGGAATGTGTGTTGGTTCCTGAGGAATCAAGGGGCTGTGCTATCTTGATTAGTTGTTTGGTTGTTTCAGTTGCGTCTGATTCTTCATGACCCCATTTAGGGTTTTCCTGGCAAAGATACTAGGGCAGTTTGCCATTTCCTTCTCCAGCTCATTTTACAGATGAGGAAACTGAGGCAAACAGGGTTAAATGACTTGCCCAGGGTCACACAACTAGTAAGTGTCTGAGGCCAGATTTGAACTCATGAAGTCTGACTCAAGGACCAGTACTCTAACCACTTTGCCACCTAGTTGCCTATGCTATCTTGATTAGAAAGGACAAAGTAGGACTCTACTAGAGACAAGCACACTGTTAGCAACAAGAAGATGATAGCTGATAGAATAGCAGATTAGTAAGAAAATCTAATAATACCTAGTATCTACATACAGCTTTAAGGTTTGCAGAGAGCTTGACATATGTTATCTCATTTGATCTTCCAACCTGGGAGGTAAGTGCTATCACTGTCCACATTTTACAGATGAGGAAACAGAGGCTGAGAAAGGTCAAATGCCTTGCCCAGGGTCTGTCTGCTCAAAAAGCATCTTGAGGCCAATTTTGAACTCAGGTTTTCCTGACTCGAAATCTTGCACTATCTATCTATCCCCTGTGCTACAAAAAAAAAAAAAGAGGATGCAGAAAAATTATAAAAAGCAAACACAAGAACTCAAGACCACAATTATCTGAAATGATTTAGTATGGGAGTAAATAGCCCAAACACAACTCAGCAGGCTCTGAGAATACTGCTGTATTACTGAATAGTCCAGTTATTCATGTTCATGATAACAATCTTGAATCATTAATAAAATGATTTTTTAAATTACTTTTTATTTATGGGCAGGGGGAGTGAAGGATTCATTCCAAATCACTGACTTCATTGGTTTAGAGAACTCCCAGTGAGGAAACTCCCTTCACCAAAGTATATCCGCAACTCTTCTGCAGCTTATAATTTATATATATTATTATATATAATATTATAATTATATAATATATAACATGATATATATTATAATTTATATATGATATAAATAATTTTCATATATTACATATATAATTATAATAAGAGAGTTGTCACTAAGAAGGCACAGAGAATAATGGACTTAGAGTCAGGAGAATTTGAATTCAAGTTGTGCCTAGCTGCGTGACCCTAAGCAAGTCACCTGACCCCTGTCTGCCTCAATTTCCTACTCTGTAAAATAAGGAATGACTTGCCTAGGGTCACACAGCCCAATCCTATGTGTCAGAAGAAAGTCTTAGACAATTCTGAAGCCAGTTAATTGTCTACTACACCTTGCTGCCTCCCAATAAATTCTATTCTCAGAGTCAGGGAGAGGGTGCCACTTGGGGCAGAATTTCTTTACCAGCCCTAGGAATCCAGAACAGTAGTGGAAAGGGTCTTGGCAGCAATGACCAGATTGAAAATCTATGAGTAGATCATTATTCATGAGGGCTGAATAACAGTACTAAGGGACATTTGTGCTGTTACTCCCCCTAGCATCATTTTACTCCAAATTAAAACCCTCTTCCTAAGCAAAATCCCATGTGTCCCAAGTATTTGATAGTCATTAACTGAGAAAAAAAAATCTGCATCTGCAAATAAGCTCTGATTTTAAACGGAAATTTAAAACTTCATCTTCTTTCTTTTGCTTTTAGAAATTTGCTAAAGCTATTCAATTATAGGACATATAATTGAAATAATAGTTTTTATTAAAGAATCTTCCTAAATCCATTTCCTTTTTATTGCAAGAAGAAAATCAAATGAGTGGTCTATTTTGCTTATACTAAAAAGGGCAGTTAAGTAGTGGTTCTATAGAAAACATATGGAATGCACTGAACATTGTGCAGTACAAAAAACACCCTTTGTTGTTGTTGAGTTGTGTCCAACTCTCCATGACCCCACTGGGAGTTTTCTTGGCAAAGATACTGGAGGGTTTGTTATTTCCTTCTCCAGCTCATTTTACAGATGAGGAACTGAGGCAAACAGGCCAAGTGACTTGCCCAGGGTCACATAGCTAGTAAGTGTCTGAGGCCAGATTTGAACCCATGAAGTTGAGTCTTCCTGAGTTCAGGCCCGACGCTCTATCCACTGTACCACTTAGCTGCCCCCAAAATTACCTTTAAAAGGGCTTTCTGGCCAATTATATCATCAAGAATAGAGTAAAGGATTTCTGATGCAACCTACTTTTCATACAATCTCTGTCCTCTCATGAATACTTTCACTTCATTATCCAAAGGGAAGGTTCCATCATCTTTCCTGAAGCGGTAGAAGAGTTTGACATCCTTGAATTCCTTATGCTCATCACACACTGCAAGACAATATACATGCAAAGTAAATTCAGTGGAGAAAGCTGATATACTTCTGTTGTGAAATAATTATTATTCTATGTGTGGAATAAAAAAATTCCACTCCCCACAATTATGAGTGAATTATACATATATTAAAACCCTAAGGTTATCATCAGGTGAGAGTCCACATACACTCACTGCTACTTACTAGCTGTGTGACTGGGCAAATTATGTAATCCTTCTCTGATGCTCAGTTTTTTCAATTTACGTGTCATAGTTCAATTCTCTAGACTTAACACAAAGCAGAAAATTGATCAATTATACAGTCGTCTGTAGAGTACACAGCATGAAACTGAATGATGAAGGCAAAACAGGAATTGTCTATGGAGGATCACAAGGGCTGGTGAAAGATTAGTACGTGAAAGAACAAAGTACTTGTTTAAATTAGGGCTGTATGCGTGTGTTTGGTGTAATTCTGCTCAGTTCAATGCACATTTATGAAGTGGTTACTATGGACATGTGTCTAGGGTACCACAGTTGCTAAGTTGTGTCCAAAGCTTTGTGACTCCATCTGGGGTTTCCTGGCAAAGATACTGGAGTGGTTTGCCATTTCCTTCTCCAGCTCATTTTACAGATGAGGAAACTGAGGCAAACCGGGTGATGTGACTTGAAGGTCACAGTATTCGTAAGTTTCTGAGAGCACATTTGAACTCAGAAGAGGAGTCTTTCTGACTAACTCCAGGCCTGGCGCTCTATCTACCACACCACCTAGCTGCCCCAAAGTTTATAACAGTCTGTGAAACAAGTGCTGGGAGATTGCACAAGTCTTTAAAACATGAAATGTAAAAAGTGTTGGGGGAACAACAGATCACTTATTTTCATTTCCTCTGCAAGGAGGACAAGGGGACTCAAAAACTGAAAAGCCATTTCAAGGGAACAGCCTGCAAGAGAAGCTTCTAACACATTATTTTGTCAACTAAAGACGAATATGAAACATCTTGATTTTTTTTCTTCTTTGAGATCGGGATTGACGTCCTCCATTCAAATTGACCTGTTGATTTAATATTTATTCAACTGAAAGGTTAAAATTTGACTCACCATGATGAATAATGCCCCGGTCTGCCAATTTCTGCATTAGTTTAATAGCTGTCTCTCTATCAGAAGCTTCTTTTCGATCAATCAGCCAGTCAATTAGCTCTTTGGCCACAAAGCAATTTGGATACGTCTTGAGGTGGTGTCTTCGATCTTTAATCACTTTTTCTTCATGTAGCCTGAGCCTGGAAAAAAAATAACCATCATATCATAACTGGATTTTGGAGATAACAGTAAATTTTAAAAATAGTTCAACTAATTCAAATCCGAGATTAGGATGGAACTCCCATCTCTGGGAAGATTACTCCCAAATCTCCATATTCATACTTCATCTCTCTCTTGAGATTCAGTCCTCCATCAGCAACTGCCTTCTATACACCTCCCCCTGGATGACTTCTAGGTATTTCAAACACAGTGTGTCCATAATAGAAATTATTATCTTTTCCCTTAAACCCACATCTTCTTTTTCCAATTTACCTCCTTCTTTGGAGAGTACCATATCTTTTTGGCTTACCCAGATTTACAACCCAGCAGCTGTCGACTCTTGATTCTTCCTCACCTCCATGTCAAATATTAGCCAAGTCTTGCATACATTCCTTATGTCTATATCTTTTCCACTCTCACGAGCACCACCCCAGTTCAAGGTCTCATCACCTCTCAATTGATTACTGCAGTGGCCTCCTAACTGGCCTCCCCTTCTTCAATCTACATTCCACATAAATCTAAATTGATATTCCTTAAAGTACAGATCTGACCATGTCACTGCAATGCTCAAGTAGCTTTAGTGGCTCCCTATTGATTTTACAATAAATTAAAAAAAAAAACTTTCTTTTTCTGCACTTAAAATTTTTCTTAACGTAGATCCAACCCATCTTTCTAAGATGATTTCACATCCCTCTCCTTGCCCACTATGCTCCTGCCAAGCTGGACTACTTGTTGCTCTCTATACACACCATTCCATCTCCAATATGCATGCTATTGCACAGGCTGCCTCCTGTGCCTGGAATGCTCTACCTCTTCACCTGGAACCCCTGGTTCTCAAGGCTCTGCTCAAGTGCCACCTCTTACACGAGGTCTTTCTTGGTTTTTTTAGTCAGTATTACTCCTCCCACCAGCCACCAAAATCAATTTATATTTATTAGTAAATTCTTCTTCAATTGAATTGAATTGAATGGGAGGAATATAACCTGGAAACCCTAAAGTCATTGCATATTTCTGGGGATGGTACCGATAGGGTCACTGGATTATTGCTCCATAGCTAAAGTCAGTCATCTCTGACCCTCTCGTTTTACAGATGAGGAAACTGAAGCCCAGGGAAGTTAAGCAGCATGAGGTCCCATGGGCAGTAAACAGCAAAGCCAGGATTTTAACCTAAGTCCTCCGTGAATAGAGTGCTGGACCTGAAATCAGGAAGATTCATCTTCCTGAGTTCAAATCTGGTCTCAGAAACTTACTAGTTCTGTGACCCTAGGCAGGTCACTTTACCCTGTTTGCTTCAGTTTCCTCATCTGTAAAAATGAGCTGGAGAAGGAAATGGCAAACCTCTCTAACATCTTTCCCCAGAAAATCCTAAACGGGGTCACAAAGAGTCGGATACAACTGAAAATGACTGAACAATAAAAACAACAAAAACCTTCTGTTTCCACAGCCAGTATTTTTTCCATTGCACCAGCCACCCAGGCTTAAAACTTCAGGCATCTCTGATTAACAACAATAATAATAACAGTTGCTACTATTTATATAGCACCTATTACATGCGAGGCACTTTGCTAAGCACTTTACCTATATTATCTCATTTAATTCTCACAACAGTCCTGCATAGTAGATGCTATTATCCTCATTTTACAGTTAAGGAAACTGAGGCAAAGAGATTTGCCTAAAGTCATATAGCTAGTAAGTGAGGCCCAAGTTCAACTCAGGTCTTCCTGACTCCAAGCTCAGTGCTCTATCAACTGCACCACCTAACTGCCTCTCCTATCCTACAGACAATTAGGTGTCAATATTCTGTTTATTCTATCTTGGCAATATTTCTTACATTCCATTGTCTCCTTTCCAGCATGAAACCTTCCCTGATCCATCCTGTAGGTAACAACTTTCCTGTTTTGACCTCACCCATACAGACCTATGATTTGACCCTGTCGAATTATCATAATTATCCATACATATGTTTTACTGCTCCAAATAAATGTTAAGATAAATTAGAACATCTGTACCTGGCCCGTGGACTTCTCCAGCCCATCTATCCTCTGCCATCATCCTTTAGGATGTCAACATTCATGCTGATGATCCCTCTAATGAACTGACTCCACAATTTCTCAAACTCTCCAACTTCAATAATTTCCTTTTCTACTTCTATTCCTTGTTTGGCTGGGAAAAGATCTGGGAGTTTTCACGGGCCACAAGCTCAAGATGAATCCAGAGTGGGACAAGGCAGACAAAAAAGCCAGTGAGTTCTTAGGCTAAATTAAGAGAAACAGAGCTCCAGGAATAAGCGGCTTATAAACGTGCTGTACTCTGCCCTGATCAGACCACGTCTCCAAGAGCCATACCTTAAACTTCACCAACTTTCAGGAATTGTTCTGCCTTTATGATTTAGACCTTTGGGCTATACAACCATGTGTACACTTTGACCCAGAAATACCACTACTATCCCAAAGAGATCAAGAACAAAAAATAAGGACTTATATGTACAAAAATATTTACAGCAGCTCTTTTAGTGGTGGCAAAGAATTGGAAATTGAGGGGATGCCCATTAAAATGACTGACAAGTTGTGGTATATGATTGTGATAGAATACTATTGTGCTATAGATGAATATATCTATATCTATATCTATCTACCTATCATCTATCTGTCTATCTATACACATATATAAGAAATGATGAGCAGGATGCTCTCAGAAAAACCTGGGAAGACTGACATGAACTGATAGAAAGTGAAGTGAACAGAACCAGGAGAACATTGCACACAGTAACTGGAATATTTTGTATGATGATCAATTGTGAATGACTTAGTTATTCTCAGCAATACAATGACCCAAGATAATTCCTTAGGACTTATGATGAAAACTGCTATCCATCTCCAGAGAAAGAACTGATGGAGACTGAATGCAGACTGAAGCATACTTTTTTTAAACTTTCTTTCTTTCTTTGTCTTCTATTTTCTTTTATTTTTTTTGTCTGTGTTCTTTTTTACACCGTGACTAATATGGAATATGTTTTTCATGCCTGCACATGTACAGCCTATGTCAAATTGCTTGCCTTCTCAATGGAGGAGGAGAGGGAGAGAATTTGGAACTCAAAATTTTAAAAAATGAATGATAAAAATTATTTTTACATGTAATTGGGGGAAAAATAAAATATTAAATTAATTTTTTTAAAAATCTAGACCTTTTTTCTCTAACTACAAACTCCCATGATGGGCCCTGTGGGTTTTACCATTTTTTTATCAATGACTTGGCTAAAAATACACTCATCAGGGACAGCTAGGGGGCACAGTGGATAGAGTACCAGCCCTGGAATCAGGAGGACCTGAGTTCAAATCTGGCCTCAGACACATTACAATCACTAGCTGTGTGACTCTGGCCAAGTCACTTAACCCCAACTGCCTCACAAAAAAAAAAAAAAAAAAAGAACAACAACAAAAATACACTCATGAAATTTGCAAATGATACCACAATGAGAGGGACAACTGACATGCTAAAAGACAGAGTCAGGGTCCAAAAATATCTTGATTAGTTCTTGCAATAAGCTAAATAGAATATAATTCCCTTTTAAAGAGATAAATCTAAAGCTTTACACTTGAGTTCAAGAAACCAACTCCAAAAATAGAAGCTGGAGGAGGAATGGTCAGACAGCAACTTATCTGAGAAAGACCTGGGCATTTTAATGGACTTCCAGCTCAACGTGAGTCAGCAGAGTGGTGCAACCAGCCATGAAGTTCCTGTGATCTGAGGCTGCATTAAGAAAGTAAGAGTTTCCAGAGGGAAGCAGGCAGCCATCCCTTTGTTCTTCAGACTTGTTGGTACCTCTGGACGACTGCGCTCATTTCTGGGCACTCGAGTGTAAGAAGGATATTGACAAACTAGAGAACTTCCACTAGGGCATTTAGAACGTGGTGAAAGGTGTTGCGTCCATATCATATGGGGGCAGTGTGAGGCAGCGGGGCGCAGTTAGCCTGCAGAAGAGAACTGGGAGGACACAATCATTGTCTTTAAGTTGGAGGGGTGAATATGTGGAGAACAGATGTAATTTGTCTAGTCTGGCCCACAGGGGTGGAACCAGGACCAATGGGTAGAAGTTAAAAAGAGCCAAACTTGGGCTTGATATCAGAAAAACAGCCCAGCAACCAGAACAGTGGAATGGGCTCCCCTGGGCAGTGATCAAATTCTCCTTCATTGGAGATCTTCAAGCAGAGGCAAAAAAGTGACAGTATATAATCTTCAGCAAGGATATGTGCAAACTGGGCAGCTGAGTGGCACAGCATTGGGCCTGGACTCAGCAAGGCCTGAGTTTAAATCCAGCCTCAGACACATTAGTTGTGTGACCTTAGACAAGTCACTTAACCTCTGTTTGCCTCACTTTCCTCAAATGTAAAATGGGGATAATAACAGCACCTAATTGGCAGGGTTGTTGTGAATATCAAATAAGATAATACTTGTAAAGTACTTAGAACAGTGCCTCAAACTACTAATATAGTGGACCCATATAAATGCTTATTCTCTTCCCCTCCCCTCCAAAGTGCTTGGCAAATCCTGATGAGCTACATAAATACCATCTTTCGTCATTTTTATTCCCTTACTTACTCTTCTCTCTTACTTCACTAGTGTCTGGTACCATTGTTTAACCTGTTTTCCATGTTTAACACCTTGGAGCTATAAAAAACTAGACCATTTGGGAAAAGGTTAAGGAAAAAAACTGCTCCCCTAGGTTCTTCCAAACCTAGGATTCTGTTTCTGACAGTGGCCTCAAAGGGAGTTTTGTGGGAAGGTGTTAGTCACTCTCCAAAAAGGTCGTCATTTCCTTTAATGACCAATTTTGGCTCAAACTCAGTAAATGTTGTTGAATTTAATTATGATGTTCAGGGATATGCAAACTGGCAAGAACAAAGGATCCCTGCCCATCCTTAACCTTCATTTCTGAAGCTGCCAAAGATTATGTCTGATGAGCTCTGGAGAAAACCCAGAC